GGGGGGGGGGGATAAGGGGAGGATGAGAGGTATCTTGTTGTGTTCAGAAGGCGAGACAGGCACACAGAAGGAGGTGTATATATAGCCGGAGCTCCGAGCAGAGCAAACTGCACAATCCTGTCCCGGCGAGTCGGGGATGCGCGCGCGTGGCTATGAACGAAGATCACGGCGTCTGAAGTGGGCTCACGGCATTGATGCAGACCGACGGAGCGGCAACAGGTGGGTGCGAGTGATGCACAATTCTTGAAGGCACCCCATACAATGGCTTCTCTGCAGCTTCATCCAGGGGTTTCAGGAGGCGGGTCATGCACGCCACTCTCTCGAAGGGTTTACCCCACACAACGGAGCTTCGGCAATGGCGCCGACTGATGAAGGGGAAACACACAATCCTTGGTTGGCGGGCGCCGGGGGAAGAATCCCCCACAAGGACTGAGGGGCGTGCGTGAGCGCCGCTCCATGTGCAAGCCGTCCATGCAGAAGCTGAGCGCTGTGCAACAACCCCGCATCCAGCACTGGGCAATGGTTGTATGCAGTGGGTGTGTAAGCGAGCCGGGGTTGCTCGGGGTTGGACGACTAGCGAGTGGCGGTTTTGACCGAAAAGAGGGTCAGTTAGATACTGTACTTCGTATGTGGATAGCCACAGCGGACGTGCATTTCGAGTGGTTTGCCGCCGGCCGTGGTGGTGATGCTGCGGGTGGACGAGATCGCCGGCGCTAATGTCGGGTATCCATGCTTTTCGGCAATCTCGGGCATCCGCGCACACCGCGACGAGAAGCGTTCTGAGAGTGCCGGTGACGGGCTTCGGATGCTCGTTTAGTTCTGGCTGACTGCGAAGGAAAGATTGTGCAGCGATGGTCAAACGAACCATGTGAGCGTAGACCAGGTCATGGCATGTGCGGTCAGGAGACCTCCACGGCCCACGAGTGTGAGATTGCCCACCTCGAACCTCCCGCACCCACTCCCACGCTCACTCCCGCACATCGCTCTCGCAACTCTTACAGAGGCCCATTCACGGAGACCCGCTCAATTAGACTTGCTCGACAATCAGCATTTGGTTGCGTCTGCCTTCTGTGCAGCGGGAATGTAGGAGAGTCTGGCTGTGAGCCGGCGATTTCGGGTTGTTAGATCGAGCAATGCTGACAAGCCGCATCGGTCGGTCAGCCGCCCAGGGCCCGATGATCGTCCGCACGATCCCGCACGACAGCTCTTCTTCCGTTTCCGTGAATCTGGTGCGTCGGAAAGCGTCGCCGTTCGGATTCTTGGCGCGAGGGTGCAGTTCCAGCGGAAATCATCATCGACGTATCCCGTCCGCAATTTCTCCAAAATCACAGCTCTCGTGCCTGGACCGTGCCGACCCGTTCGGGAGCTTTCGAAAGCCGTGACAGGAGGCGCTGCCAAATTTGGACGCATCTTGCCTTGGCGCTTATGGCGCTCTCTGCTTCCAACGGGAAGCTGCTTCGTCTGTCGTCATATGCATGCACATGCGGGTTCGGATGGCTTCCTTGCCGAGAAGCCAGCACTGCATTTCGCTCAGCTCCTCCGTCGAGATCCACGGATCAGCGCTGTTTTACTGGTACTGCCGTTGCGATGCGAAGCGATTCGGTGAGTTACAATGTCGAAGACGTTCGGCTGGCTCAGAGCCGAACCAGTTGGAGAACGTGCACACATCCGTCCAGACCCCAGAGTCGTCGCCTGAGGGTTGGCAAAAGAAGCCTTAAATATGCGCAGCGCGGATCACCGTTGTTGTCGTTGCCATTGTTTCGACCACCTACCTTGCCGTCACCATGTGGTCTCCACTAGCTTCCGCCTCGATCGTCTTTCTGATTCTCTATCTCTTCCTCTTCGCCTTCCTCGTGGCGCTCTTTGCGCTGCGCAAGGTGCCGTGGAAGTCGAGATGGCTCGTGCTGCTTCTCCACGTGCTTTGCCGCTTGGCATCCCAGGCGTGCGGTCTGGCGTTCGGCATCGTCGGCTACAGCAACATCGACGTGCTCGTCGCTTACTACGTATTGGGGGCAGAAGGGTACTTTACGCTCGTAGTCTGTTTAAGCCGTTATCTGATCGCATGGCAAAGGCAGCATTGGAGAGGCTACTCGTGGATGGAACCAGTCGATCCATACGCCCCAAAGCACGGCAAGGCCAAGCTGAGGTTCAAGCAGCTCTTCGAGTGGAAGGAGAGCAAGGACGAGCCCAAGTCGGCCCATGCTCTGCTTGTCGTCGACTGGCTGCTCATCGCTGCCAATGTCATCATCATCGTCGGCGGCTCGCTCAGCGCAGCCGCATACACAAACAGCGACCTCACCTACACGCAGCGGGAAGACAAGCTCAAGACGTCTAGGGGCATGAGGGCCGCGGGGCAGGCCGTCTTCCTTGTCATCAATGTCCTCTTGCTCGTCTGCATCGTCGTTAGCATGCAACAGCACCGACAACATCGTTTCGACAACGGTGCGCCAAACCGTCAGGAGAACGAGCCGGCCCAGGACCAGAAGCCCCTTCCCGGCCAGTCCGTAGACCAATCCGAGCGGAGGCCGTGGTACGGCCACAAGACTCTGGCGCTCATCTACCTCACCTGGCCATTCCTCGCAGTGCGCGGCATCTTTGGTGTCGCTCAAGCTGTGGTACCGGACCTGAATGTAAGTTCAGCCCCGCGCCAATCGTCGAGCCCATGTTGACAGCAGCGCTGACCATCCATTCTTCCGTCGCTATCCGTGCGCATCGTCGACCTCACAGTACTTCAACTCGGAAGTTTACGACGCCAACAACCTCACGCAACAGTTTGTCACAGAAGAGACGTGCATGGTGACCATGATGGAGTTTATCAGCGCCACCCTGATTGCTCTGACCTACTTTACCACGCGCTCCGAGCATCACACTGCTCGCGCCATCCCCTGAACCCCTTAGCTTTGCTCTGAGACTTGTACCAAGCGTACGATCTGCACAGGCTAGCACAATCAATCTTGCAAGAGTAGATGCAACCCTGAATTGAGCCGAGAATCTAGCGCCAGACGGCAACAAAGCGCACCTCGACGCTCTTCCTTGGCGGTGCGTTGGGCGGCGGCGCTGGGTAATCACCTTTGATCCGAGTGACGGCACAATGTGCGCCGTACAGAGCCTCTTGGGTTTCGCCCGATTGACGTTGGTGGTGTTGCAGCGACAAGGAGTCGTAGCACTTGAATACGAGCACCTCGTGGTTGGTCTGATGCGGCACAAAGTGCCACTGCTGCTTGTCATGCGCATGGAGATCGTATCCACATCCGAATGGATTGGCATGTCTCGAGATGAAACACTGGTCTAGCGACCTGTAGTCGGCCAGTGCAAGCGGCTTGTCGTACACGGTGCCTCCTACTGGTCTCCACAGATTGACGATCATCGTTCTTGCATACCGGGCGGATAGATTCGAGCTGATTGCCTCGCTGGGATCCATTGCGGTGTTTTGTGCTTGAGTGAGGAGGGAAGGCGTACCGGCGATGGCCATGGAGCAGACCCTAGCGCCATGCGAAGGATCCTGGTCAATGTGGGCGAACAAGGCGGGTGGCTCGATGGGCTTGTCGAATCTGGACTCGATACCCTGAGGGCGTTGCTGTTGCTCGTAGTCGTCGTCGAGACTGGCGGACGCCGAGACGGCCGAGTCGCGCTTGACCGTATTCCACACAATCACTTCGTCTGCACCCGTAATTGTCTTGATGAGTTGCTGGTTTTCGCGCACAAACTGCGAGTAGCCCTCCTGCGTTTCGATGCCATTCTCTTCCAGGGCGTGGCTGAAATGGGGAAGCACGGCGAATCCACGCTTGGCCAGGTCTACACGAGCAGTCTGTATGCGTTGCGCCTCGGAGCAGGTGCTGAGTTGGTCCAGCTCGGGACGGAGTGAATGGAGCTGCTTCCACACGCCGCGTTTGGGGCGCTCGCGATGCGGCTTCTGCAGCTTTAGATAAGAGTCAGGATCGTGGTCGAGCTCTTCGTCGGCGTAGGTAAAGAAGAGCTCTCCCCATACGCCTTCGGTTGCTCCTTGTTGCACCTGGAGGTCGTCGGTCGTCATGGTTCTTCAAGGTAGATCGAGGTGGTGGTATGAGGCGAGATGTGAGATGTGAGGAGGTTGCTCATGTCTCTGGGGCATCTAAGGGTCTCCAGATTAGACTCAGCTGGCGTGCCGACTCGACTCCGGCTTATCCGCCGAGATCCAGAACGAATTTAATCGTGAAATAATACCAGAAAATACAAAAAAGCCCAATTTATCCTCGAAAATTCAGGCTGAAAAAGGCATAACCTCCACAAGTTGCAGATGCGACCCGCCGACCTTCGTTCTCACCATCAATCTACGGACACCCATCGACGGTCATCAGGACAGCGACTATGACGATGATGTCGCGCAGCTTGGCTATGCCATTTACCGCGACAACGCGAAGGGCCACAAGCGGCTCGGTTCGACACGGGGATGCACCCATCGCATCAGCTGCGAGTGCATCGCGGCGCACGGCGAGCACGAGCAGCGCCGGTCGATCCAAGGACGAGGCGAGCGCCCCTGCTAGCCAGGCACACGACACAAGGATCGACGAAGTAGACCACGTACGCACATCTAGGCTCGGTCGAGCGCTACTGACTGCGGGTAGCGCGTTGGGACTGCTCAACAATCCCGCTCGAGGAGGTAAGCATGCTGACCCTTAGAGCTCAGTCGAACCCGTGCAAAGCTGACGAGCCCCGCCACTCAACACTGTATCTGTCGTTGATCTCACCTCAGATCTACTCTCTATGCTCACACAGGTGTCGTCTGGGCCGTCCCTGTCGCATCTGCTCGGCTTGATGCGGTCGACGGAATCGGGGCGCCGATTGTTGATCGAGCGTCCTTCGGTCAACTCGGAAACGGTGGATGTCGAGTATCTTTGCAGCCTCGAGCGCGGAAAGTTTGGGCGCGAGTGGATGGAGTGGCTCAAGGAGAATGGCGTGGGACCGGACGGGCGTGCCGAGGCCGACTATATGCCGACGCCCGAGCACAAGTATCTGATCCAGCGCTATCGCGAGTCGCACGACTTCTACCACCTTCTGCTGCGAATGCCCGTCACCCAGCTCGGCGAGACGGTGGTCAAGTACTTTGAAATGGCGCAGATGAACATGCCGGTCGCTGGCTTTGCTGCGGCGGGAGGAACGCTGCGCATCCTCGCGTCGAATCTGTCATCGCTGCCCAAGCCATCGCAGCTGCTCACTGCGGCCCTCTCGCCATCCTCGGTGTCAAATGCGACGGCATCAGCAGCCAGTTCGACATCTGCTGATCTTGCGGCTCTGCAGAGCTTGATTCCATGGGCAATCGAAGTAGGCAAGACGTCGGTGCCGCTCATCTCGGTCGAGTGGGAAAAGTGCTGGGAGCGCGACATTGACGACATGCGACGCGAGTTTGGCATCACACGCCCTCCCATCGCCGTGGCGCGCTTTGCAGGCCGCGCCGCTCGATCCGGCAAGAGACGCGGCTGGCCGTCCAAGATCGTCGAACACCAGAAGCGAAAGGAACAAGCACAACAGCAGCAGACGCAGAGCTCGAGCCAAGCACCGAATCCTGTTCCGTCTGCTCACTCCGAGTCAAGATGAACCTTGAATGCTTAGAAATCAAAATACCATACAGAACTGGCCTCTACCCAACTTGAGCCACTCGATCGTCTGCGTTGGCTCGATCGAGCCTTGTGGTCGCGGCCTTGTGAAATGAGACAGAGGCTAGGTCTCTTGCCGAAAAAGCGGGTCCAGCATGCATGCCGTCGGCCTTTTCTTGGATTCTGAATCACGCGCTGCGCCTTCTTCGTGCGCCCAAACGCAGCTTGCCGATCCCGCACTACTCTGCTCGTCTTCCAGCCGCGTTGCTCTCCGCACCGTGCGCGCCGGGCTGCATTTGCCTCGCCTCGCCTCGCCTCGCTTCGCGTCCAATCCAACCAGCTTTCTCCGTCCGCAACCACCATCAAACCATCCTCATCCTTGCTTCGATTCTGCGCGCTCGGAAGAGGGCCGACGATAACCGGTCACTTTCCGCATCATGTCCGCCAGCCAGGCAGGCCCGAGCAGGACCACGCTGCACACTCCGGCCTCGCCAACCGCACAGCAGAGCTACATCGACCCAGCCGCCGCACCGCTCGCGTCTCCGCAGCTCGCCAACCGCATCAACCTCGTCACCTACAAGCAGTCCACCATCAAGGCGCTCATCGACCCCAGCCTGCCAGTACAGGATGTCATTCGCCAACTCTGCGCCAATGCCCACCTCGGCGTCCAGGAGCCTCCAGCGCTCTTCGCGCTTCGCGACGACGACAACGACGAGCTCATCGACGACGCCAACATGGCAAAGAAGATCGAGGCCGGCGCCAACTTCAAGCTGTGCTCGTCACCCACCATCGAGGCCGCAGACATGGTCGACAAGCTTGGCTCCTGCGACGAGCGCGTGCTCAAGATGGCCACCTACACCCTCCAGCGCCTCATCCGCGAAGCACCCTTCACCAACGAGTTTGTTGCCAGAGGCGGCGTGAGGGAGTTGCTCAACGTCATACGCAATCACTCGTCCGGCAACACCCTCGCCTACGCTCTCACCAGCTGCCAGAACCTCATGGACGGTTTCGAATACGGCTGGGACATCATCGACGCCGACATCGTCGCAAAAGTCGTCAACTTGCTTGTTTCCCAAGAACGCATCAACGTCTGCCGGCCCGCCACCGCCATCCTCAAGAAGCTCGTCGTCTCGGGTCCCCAAGACTCGCCCAAGATGGGCCGCGTGCTCACCGACGGCTCGGGCGCTGCGTCCGCTGCACCGCCTCCCGTCTACCGCTACGGCTTTGACTTTGTATACGCCGAGTTCCAGCGCGAACCACTCTTCCTCCAGACGCTCACCAACCGCATCGGCAGCTCCGACACCACCTTAAAGCTGTACAGTCTCAGCCTCATCAACAGCCTGCTGCGCAACGTCTCGGACGAGCTCTTCGAGAGCTTCACCTCGGAGCTCGAAAAGCTCAACGCATCCAAGGCGGTGGCGTGGCTCATGGACTCGCATCGCGGCGACGAATTGGCATCGTCCATCCTCGACTACCAGACCAACGTCATCCGCACAGCACATCGCAGGATGCGCACCGCCGTCACACCGACCGACAAGCGCCACGTGCACGCACTCTCCTACATCTGGCTTCAGGCAAAAATCAGCGATGTCGTCGTGCCGAACAAGAACCCCGCCCAGACCACCCTCAACGGAGCATCCAGAACCGCCGGCGGCGCCACCACTCGTTACAAGTGGCGGCGCATCGGCTTTGCGTCTGAGTCGGCTGCCAAGGAGTTTGGCCGAACGGGCTGGCTGGGCCTGTTGTGCCTCGAGTCGTTCGTGCGCTCAGATCCCGACCTGTACGCTAAGATCATCCTGGAGCAGATCAATCGGCCCGAGGAGCGCCGCTGCATGTTTGCACGTGCATCCATCGAAGTCACCTCGATCCTCGCCGATCACTGGGACATTGAGTCCGGCTCTTTCACCGCGTCCACCTCGTATCTGCCCTTCCTGCTCTCCCTGACCAAGGTGCACAATCTCGCGCTGCGCTTCTTCCTGCGCATGTGGAACGAGTCGGGTGCCGCCGCCTCGGACTTTTCGCGCGTGTCGGCGCTGGTGCGCAGCCAGGTGCACGATGCGCTCGGCAAGCAGGACGAGGTGAGCCGCACCTGGATCGACCTCGAGGACGCTTTCCTGCACTCGGAGTACCGGACCGTGCGCGATCGCCAGATCAAGGAGCTCGAGGTGGACGAAGACTACAACTCCAAGGCGTCGATCCGCAACCTGCGCGGCCGCATCTATCGCGAGAGCTACGAGTTTGTGCGCCAGCAACGCATCCAGTGTCTGCTCGAGGGCGCATGGTTCCGCAACGTAGTCGCATCGTCAGCCGTGGGCGCCGGTGCGATGGGTGCCAAGCAGCGGAGAGGATCGACGAGCACCGTCGAGACCACCAATATGGCCATGCCGACGATTTCCAACGGCGCCACGGCTCCCACCAAACCATGGCGCTTCTATCGCCTGGCGCCCAACAAAAAGTTCCTCTACTTTTGCGACTCTTCCGACCGCGTGCCCATTCGCGGCGGGCTTGACGACCTGCCGGATCGCATCGATCTGAGTCTGGTCACCGAAATTTCGCACCACGGTGGCGCAGCGACGGGTGGAGGCTCGGGAGGCGCGGCGACGGGACGCGAGCTGGTCATCAGCCTGCTGCAGTCGCCAGATGGATGTGTCGCCGAGATGCAGGCGCTCAATGCGAGCCAGCTGTCCGAGTGGACCGATGGCCTCAACATGCTGCGCGACGAGGGCGGCGTGGTGAGCACGCGCGAGACCGCCGACCTCATCAACATGCTCACCGAGATCGGCATCAAGGTCAAGATGCTCGACCTCACGGGCGAACAGATCGAGCTGCCTGCCACAGTGCAAGCGCCGCCGCTGCCCTCCACCACCGAATTCTTCTTTGCCGAGTTGTAGCGCCTGCCTCACCGTCAATAAGACGAGATTTGGGGGATGGATACTTGATGGCATGCTTCGAGGTACAAATACAGGAGGGCGAGAGTGAGTGGCAGCTGAGAGCTTTCAGCCTCTTTGGAATCTGTGACAGAAAAGCAGCAAAAGTGCGTGGTTAGTCATTTGACGGCGTGCGGGAGAGATCGTGACATGGATGCAACACGAGAGACCTACTGCTGTTGCTGTTGTCTCGCCTTGCGCAGGTAGGCGAGGTCGGTTCTGCTCGCGCCGAGGTTGACCACCTTGGGACAGCCGTCGCGGTCCTTTTCGAGTCGTGTGCACTCTGCGCAGTAGTATGCGTCCGAGACGCCTTGACCTCCGCAGATGATGCATTTGCCACCGGAAGAGCCGAAATTGCACTCCTCGCAGATGCGCACTAGAGCAGCGGGACGCACATACGAATCGCAGATCGGGCTGCAGAGACGAACGCATAGGAGAAGAGAGAGGAGAGGATCAGCCGTCTGGATCGATGTGATTCGCAAGGTGGTGAAAGTTGGATGGACTCACCATTTGCCGTCATCCTTTTCGCAGAGCCTGCCGATTGCGATGCCGGGCAGCTTGCGGCAGAGAATGAGATCGGGATGATGCCTGGAGCGAAAACGCGGCGAACAACAGGGTCGAGGTCAGCTGAGGATCACACCGACAACGGCAAAGTTGAGTTTGGCTACTCACTTGGACATTGTGACCGCCAAGAGGAGATGGCGAGGAAGTCGATGGTGTGAGACTGAGAGCAAGTGGAGCGGATGGCGGTCAGGGTCTTCTAGCCAAATTGCCAGAGCGCAGCACGGAGCCAATTGGTGCTCGGCATGTCCGAATTCCGAAATCCGATCGGGCGCTGCGTAGACAACGCAGTTTGCAGTTCCGAAGCCAGCCGCCGCAGAGTCAATTAGTTGTGACGGCTCACAGGGCAGCCATTCACATGCTCTTCCGCTCAGCAGCACCTGGAGCAAAGCCTTCGGCATCGGTAAGTCCGAGGCTAGCTTTTGGCGAGCGCGTGGTCCGACCGGTCTTTTATTTTTAACTTTTTTTAATTTTTCGGTCGGCTAGGCCGACATCGGCGCGCCCGACGCAGGCGGATGTGCCCGGAGTTCTGACCAGTCTTTGCTCCACTCGAGGCACGAGCTTCCGGCACACAAACGTGGGAGTCATGCTTTGAATCCCCTTCCCGTCCTATCCATCTATGCTTCTGCGGCAGCTGCGTCGGCATCATCTGTCTCCTGCATTGAGGCCGCGATGAAGCCTTCTCGCCCCGGCTCGCGTGGCAGCGAGGCACCCTCGTCGGCCGCTCCCAACACTCCCGAAGCGCATGCTCACAATGCCGACTCGCCCTCCGACGATGCGCGGCTCTACTCGCGCGGCACCGGAAAGCGCAACCGCGTCCACTTTTCCTGCACCGAATGCTACCGTCGAAAGCAAAAGTGCAATCGCGAGACGCCATGTCAGCACTGCATCGCTCGCAAGATTCCAGAGCGCTGCAAGACCTTCCAGCCGGGCGAGGATGCCAACGATGTCGCCACAAGGCTCAATCGCGTCGAGAGAATGCTCGAAGACCATCTTCCCAAGCTCGCCGAGCAGGTCCACCATCTCGTCTCCCTCCTCGGATCAAGCACGACGTCGCGTCCGCAGCCCCACGACCATCACTCCCGCGTCCCGTCCGCCGGCAGATCCACCTGGCACGAAGGCGCCCTCGCCAGATCACCCGAGCGCACATACGCCCGAGCCAGCGACCAGGGCGATGATGACATCGACGAGCTCGAGACGGGTCGTTACAGTCCCAAGACCGGCTTCTACAGCGGTGGCTCCATGGACATGCGCATCAGCTCCATCCTCGACGACCTGCCCGGCTCCTCGTCCAAGTCCGCACCCCTCAATCCGCCCGTCCGCACGCTCGAGGGTCCCTCGGAAATCGACGTCGTCATGCCCGAATACGGATGTCCAACTGCACCCACTCCGGATCTTCTTGGCGCTTTCAGCACACGTGCACACTGCAGCGTGCTTGTCGACCATTTCTTTAACGACATCAACTGGATGCGCCAGCCCTTCCCACAAAAGAGCTTGCGCAAGTCCTTCGAGGCCTTCTGGGACTCGGGCCCCAAGATCAACGCACAAAACATCAACATCTTTGCGCTACTATGCAACATTTGTGCCATCGCCATGCTGTCGGTCCAGCATCGTCTCTTTCCCGAAGGCCCGCGCGATCGCCTCAAGGCTGCACGACGCTACCACTATGCCGGCCGCAGAGCGCTCCTGATGAGCACCATCATGGGCCGCGAAGACGTCGACCAGATCGTCGCCTGGCTCGTGTCGTGTCGCTTCCTCCTCCTTGATCGTCGCATCGGCGAGGCCTACACTTTGGGCTCTTCAGCGGTCCGCGCCGCCTTCAGCATCGGCCTTCACCGCGATGGCACCAAGCTCGGCCTGTCGCCCGCCGAGACCGAGGCGCGCAGACGCGTCTGGGCCGCCGTCTACTTTCTCGACCGAGCCATGGCTCTCAATACAGGTCGTCCGGCCGTCATCGACGACCGCGTGTGCGACACCCAAGTGCCTAGCGAAGTCATGGATGAGGACATCTTCCCCGCTCCCAAACATCCACCAAAAATGCCTCCAGGCGTCGATCCTCCGACCGCCTACAGCTACACCGTCTTCCGCCAGCGCATCGCAGAACTCGAAGGCCGCATCCTCGCCACGTTTCAGAATCTTCAGCATCCGGTCCACATCAGCGACGTTCTGGCTCTCGACAAAAGCATGCGCGAACTCCAAGACGGTCTACCCTTCTATTTCCGTGCAAAGCTCACGAAGGACGGCGTAGAGGGCGACAAATCGCTCGACTCGGTCTACGGCTTTCTCAACGTGCACCGTTTCCTCCTGCACACCGAGATCAACTCGGTCAGAATCGCGCTGCATCGCCCCTACCTCCTTCGCTCAGGGGGTCCCAATGGTGCCAAGTTCCTGCCTTGTCGTGAGGCCAGCCTTGACGCAGCTGTTCACGACCTCGAGATGCGTCGCGACTTTGTGCAGAACCTCAAGACGCTGACGACTGCCGGTGAAGAGCCTCTGCTGTACCGCGTCCAGATTGGCACATACAAATGGTTCCATTCGCTTCTGGTCGTCGGCATCGTGCTCCTCATGGACCCCAACGCACGCGATGCGCCCAAGCTCAAGTCACACCTCGAGGAGTACGTCAACACCTACAAGAGCCGGCCGGCAAGCCAGCGCGACGAGATGCGCGATCGCGAGGCCAACGTGATCGGCATCTTCCTTTCGCGCATCGAACAGGTGGAAAAGATGGCTTCCGACGCCAAGGGCAATGCGTCAGGCTCACGCGCTGCACCGCGCGCTCCGAAGAGGGGACGATCCACCGATGCCGGCCCCAACAGCGATGCGCGCGATCGACTGATCAAATCGCGAAAGCGCGGCAAAGACGCTGGCGACGACCTTTCCGACGAAAAGTCGGATGCGCACCTGCTGCTCAGCCTCGATGCGAGCAGATCGGGCCAGGACAGGGCGGGAAGGAAAGAGGGAAACAATGGCGCTGACGCTGCCTCCAAGTCGTATCTGGACAGACTAGCACGTGGCGCTGTGCCATCGACGGGTGACATGCCACAAGATGCCGGCACAACCGCTTCACGCCAGGGATCGGGCGATTGGTCGTTGGGCGGACCGCGCGGACTATCTGGCACGGTCGACCCTAGCTCGTCCGCAAGCAGCTCCAACAGCCCTTCCACTTCATCGCTCCCAGCTGTGATGGCGAGTGGGCATGGTGTTAACGATCCCAAGGCGAATGCCTCTTCGTCTTCGACGCCATCCTGGGCACCTGCTCCTAACGGTGGCGGAGAGGATGCGCAGCAGTTCTTTGACGCGTGGTACCAGGCCGAATGGGCAGCAGCCACCATGCCATCGTACGATGCCGCCTACAATGGTGCCAATGGACTTGGCGGAGGCGCTGCAGGAGTCAGTCTCGGGCTGGATTCGCTCGCTGGCTTCAGCGGAGTGTTTGGCTCGACGTCCAATGCCGGCGGCGCCACGAGTGGGCCTGTGAGTCAAGGGCTCGGTGGAGGCTTTAATGGACTCATCGGGCCTTCGATCGGCGCCCCTGGGCCTGCAGCCCCTGGGCCTGGCGCCAATGGCTCCAAGGCGTTGGCAGGCGCCGGCACTGGCACGGGGCTGACGCCCGGAGGCGGGATGAGCGGATGGATGTCGCAAGCTGGCGGGCTGCCTCCAAGTTATGCGGCGCCGACGACGAGCGCAGCTACATCGGATCGGCTCGCAGACCTCCTTTCGAGGAGTCAGCCGGCGAGCCATACGGACGGCTCATGGCAGGATCAACGCCACGGGCCAGGCCAGGCTGCTCCTGGCTCCAGCGGCCTGCAGGCACCTGGCGCAGTCGCCGCTTCAGCACTTGGCTCGTCGGCGCCGACAGGAGCTTCAGGCACACAGGCACAAGGGTCGCAGGCGTTGCTCACCTTTGACGGTTCTGCGCCGGGATTGGATGGTCATCAAGCGGCGGGCGCAGGTCAGCGAGACTTTGACCCCGCATTCTGGCAGACGCTCATCGACAAAATCATCACCTGAAGCCTCACGAGCCAATCAACCTTTTTGCGCCAAAGCGTACAGTCTGACGACCGGCCGTCGTAGAAGAAGAATGCATCGTGACTTGCGAGACCAAGTTGGTGGTCGAATGAGATGAGCGATGCGGGTGTAGTGTACATTGCGCGAGAGCCGGGGAGAGGGTTGAGCGAGTCGAGAGGAACACTTCTAGAGCGAGCAAGGACGAGAGCAGAGCGGTGTCGTTTTGCGTTTTGAGAAAGGCTTGAGATAGGTATAAGTGTCCGATACTGGAGTATGTGGCTGTAGTTGGGGGCGTATTACAAGAGCGCCTGCTTTGCGGTGGTCCAGGTAGCGGCGGCGGCCATCATGATGCCACTAGCGACGGCCATGGGACGGACACCGGCAGTGCACTTGAAGAGCGCGCCGGAGATGGCACCTGCCGTGACGGCGCCTGCAATGTCGTGCTTGCCACGCACGCCGTCGATGGATGCATCGACGAGGTTGTAGATGAGCGCGACGACGCCCGCCGAGTTGCCAAAGAAGGAGCCACGACGCGTGACCTGGTTGAGCACGGCGTTGAGACGCAGACGGAAGGTGGGGTTGTCGACGCCAAGCGGACGGAAGAAGCCTTCACGCGCACCGAGCAGGCCACCGATGGCAAGGCCGGAGAGGTAGGTGGTGCCGGTTCCGTAGCAGAGGTCGTCGGACCAGCCACGCGAGGGGACGGCGGTTCGTGCGCCCTCCATGCTCGAGGGAGCGCCGTCGGTGAGGTCGAGGTATTCGAGCTCGTCCTTGCCGAGACCGGCGAGCGGGGAGAGCGCACCGAGGTTGAGGGACGAGTCGCCGAGAAGAGATGCTGCGTTGGGGACGTACTCGGGCGACGAGCCCGAGGCGGATGGTGATGGCGACGAGGGCTGGACAAACGTGTGGCTGCGAAGGTAGTCCGTGGGGCTGTCCGATGTGGGGTTCTGAGCCACGGTGGCGTCCGCCGGTGCCGGAGCTACAGCCTCGAACGAGGACTGTGCTGTGGAGGACGAGGCGGCAGCGTCGGCGGGCTTGTTGGACGAGAAGGGCCAGACCATGTTGAACGAGGGTGAGGTGGAGGCAGAGGACGAGGAGAAGGAGGGTGCGGTCTGGTCTGGTGTTGCGCGGAGACGAGTGCCAATGTGGATGTGCTCTTGGTAGTGGCGGTGAAGGTAGAGTGGACGGCTGCAGTGAGCTGGGTTGATGGTCGGTGTGGGGTGGAGAAGGCTGAGCGAGTCAGTCGAGTGGATGACGAGCGCTCTGGCAGATTCCTGAAAGGGAAAGGGCACCGCGGTGCATCCGCTTTCCCTCAAAATCGATTTTGAGACTGGGCTGTTGGGCTGCAAATTTGCCAAGTTTCAGAGACTTCCGCCGCGTTCCGAAGGCGTTCGTTTGCTGCGCTCCTCCCTCACCCGGCTCTCGGCGGTGCGACCTTCTAAATTTCCAACTTTTTTTTGCACCCCTCCAAGGCTGAACGCGGCTTACAGGTGCCTTTGTCAGCGATCCGAGACAGAGGCTTTGCACGTGACGAGATCAGATTTTGGCAGGCGAAGAAGCAGCACTGACACTGACACTGGCTGCCAGCTTCCGGGTCTGATCAGCATCCTATCCTTCGTCCCCAACCTCTGCTACCTAAACCAACACCCTCCGGCTCCGCTGCTCACACGCACGTCCGCCTCAAGCTCGACAGTCGCACTTGTCTTGCTCTCGGTCGCGCCAACATGATCCTCACCGGAAGCTCTTCCTTGCTTCGCCGCACTGCTGCTGCCGCGGCTCGCGCGCCCACCTCGCAGGCGCCCGCCTCGCTGGCCATCGCGCCCACAAGCGTGGCCGCCTCTTCGACCATCCTTCCGGCTTTTGCATTCGGTGGTTCGATCCAGACCCGTAACTCCACCAAGCGTGGCGGTGGTTCTACCAAGAACAACCGCAACTCCCCCGGTAAACGTCTCGGTTACAAGAAGCAGACTGGTACGTTTCCTCTCCCTTCGACCTGCCTCACTTCCTTGCACCTTGGAAGACGCCACTGACACATCTCGTACTATGCTTATACTGCTCGTCGCTATAGGTCAACTTGTGTACCCCGGCCAGATCATTTATAGACAACGCGGAACTTCATGGCACCCGGGTCTCAACACGGCAATCGGCAAGGACCACACCATCTTTGCCACTGCACCCGGCTACGTTCACTTCTACTACTCCGAGCCCACTCCGTCATCCTCGGCTCAGACCGCGCCTGCCTCGTCGCCGTCGGGCGTAAAGCTTCCCATCAAGAAGCTTTCTCCCATCACGTTCAACGCCACCGCCCTTGTCTCGACACCCCATCCCTCGTCCAAAAAGCAACGTCGCAGGTACATTGCCGTCTCGGCCGACCCCGAGACTACCTTCCCTCTTCCAGCTGGCACTCCTCGCGAGAGGAGATTCAACAGGGTCGACCTCAACTCGCTTCAGAGCCAGATCGACCAGCTCAAGATCCACCAGCAGGCCGCCGACAACCTCGACTCCTCCTCCGCCCCCGCCTCCGCCTAGATGCACTCTCTACGTCTTGTCTGCCGTGGAAATTCCATTTGTACTTGTATCTCGTCTATCTCACTCACAATGAAGACAATCTCAGACCATCATCATAGGAATCGATCAGATTCCCGCATTCACCGACTCGGTCGCTGCCAACACCGCGGCCACATGCTCGGATCTGCTAAGCTGAGCTCAGCCGACCGAGGAGCCACTGCTCGAGGTCCTGCCAGCCACCACCCACGCGCACCAGGATCTTCTTGGCCTTGCTTCCCGCACGCGCGCCTGCACTGCCCGCCGGCCGATGCAGTTCCAGCAGTCGACACGACACCTTGCGCCCGCCGATTTCGTACATGGCTCGGTTGTCCTTGCCCGGCCCTTCCTCCAGACGCACGCCTCGCGGCAAAGGCGGATCAATGCGCTCGAGCGCCACGCCCAACCCATTGCAGATCGCCGCCACCTCGACGTCCAGCGCGTCGTTCGGATTGGCTCGGTACAGCTCGATCGCGCCAGTCGCTCCGTAGCTGCTGCCCGCCACAGAGCCAGATCCGATGCGTGAGCCAGCTCCGACAGACACACCGCGCGCGCCTCTGCCCGCTCCGTACCAAGTACCAGCAGAGAGTCCCCCCACCGATCCGTTCTCGCTGGCCGTAGGAGTGGTTCGACCGTTGTGAAGCGAGCGCAGGTTCGAGATACTGGATCGCTTCAAAGATGCTCCCGGTTCGGCCGACGGAAGCGATGCAAGCGCGGCTGCGGACAGCGGCGTCGCTCGACCAGAGGCCAGGGCGCCGTTGCGCCGCGTCGGCGGCGGCTTGCTGGGTCTCTTGCTGGGAGTGTGTGCCCCGTTCATTCCGGCCATGCCTGTGGAGGGTGCTCGCGCGTACATGCTCAGTCTCTGTGCCCTCGCCACGATCGCCGGTTCGGGCGTCTGCATGCTGAGTCTCGAGGCGCCCGAATAGCGCATGGGCGTTGAAGTCGAGTTCTGCGACATGGCCGAGCCTGGCCTGCTGGGCGTTGATTCGCCCTCGGGGTTGCGCACAGAAAGCCGAGGGATCATCGAGTCTCGCTTGCGCGACTTGGCGTCGCCTACGTTGCCTTGTGCCGAAGGCGGACGGTAGTACTGCCCAGCTGACGACGCCGGACGCGCCGGCGACGAGCCCTCGCCAAACTTGAGATACTCGATGGACTCGTCGGTGTCATCTTGCTTGCCAGAGTCTTGCGACTGGGAGGGCCACAGCACTTGGGACTGGGAGCGTGGCATAGACTGGGACAGCGGCGCACGAGCCCGATTCGATCCGGCAGCAGCGTCAAGATCGTGCCACGAGGGTTTGAAACTTGAAGGTGGCGGACGACTAGGCGTGCCCGTGGCTGCAGTGCGACTGGCTGGAACGCCGCCGGCGGCGGGTCGACCTCCGATCATGGAGATGGGCCTGGCGCCTGGCGACCTTCCGAGGACTCCCTTTTCCACTGCTCCGGTTGCCGCATTGGCCATGGAGGTAGCTCGGTTTCGGATGGGAGAGTCAAAGGCTGACGGCGAGGTGAGAACGCCGGTCGACTTGCCGCCCGCTGTGCGCTGCGATGAACCAGGTACGTCGAGTTGGCGGGAGAAAGCAGAGCGCGGTGGAGTGGCGGCTGGTTTGGTGTGAAGGCCGAGCGACTCGGCGGTTGCCGAGATGCGCCTGAGGCGCTGTGGCGTAGCGGCTGCGGGTGGGGTATTCGACAGATTGGAGCCGACAGAAGAGCTGCTAGACAAGCGGCTGGGACCGCTGGCAACGCGTGAAGATGACGACGAAGCAGGCGAGATGCGCTTCTGAGAGGCGGAAGCGCGAGCGGGTGTGCCGAGACCGAGGCCAGTCTGCATCGAGGCGCTGGGGCGGAGCTTGGAAGCCACCGGAGGGAGACTTGAAGTGGACGTGGCGGGACTGGCGATGTCGTTGGTGACAGAGGAGCTGCTGCTGTCGGAGCGGACGCGACGGAAGAGGGCGTCGGTGCGTTTGAGGTCGCGTTCGGTCTTTGCCAATGCATCGCGCAGGACGCGCCATCGCGAGCGCAGATCAGATAGACGGCGCAGGATGGTGCCGTTGGAGGTCTGCCTCTCCTTGCAGCCCTTCTCGAGGCTGTGGAATACCTGCTGGCAGGCCGGGAAGTAGTAGGCCTTCTTGACGTTGAAAGTCCTTGTCAGATCGGCGAGTTGGTCGTGCTTTGCTTGAATGTCGTATTCGGCGTCGAGCTCGTCCGAGGGTGCACTGCTTGGCTGTAGTCTGCCGGCGGCATGGTCTTGTTGAATCTGCTCGATAAAGATGTGACACAGGGAGACGGCCTTGTCGAGACTGTCCATCATGCCTTCGGCTTGTGTGCTGATGGATCGGAAGACGTCGAGGTATCTGTCGTCTGCGAGCTCCTTTTTGAGCCCATCGATGTCTTCTTGAATAGCGGCCCACTCTGTGCATAGGTCGGCATACTTTGAACGCAGGCTAAGCGGAGTGAGAGCGGGTGCAAAGCCAGGGAAGGCGATGTCATCTAGGGAGCCGAGACTGTCGTCACTCGCGTTGCTGGCGCGACGAGCTCGAGATTGGTGGCTGACGAGGTCATTATCGATGATGGATGAGTCTGCTGCCTCTGAATCTGCAAGATCCGAGGCAGGGTCGACGAGGTTGGCGAGGCGGACTTCGAGCTGCTGCATGACGCGTGAGAGCGATTCGAGTTTCTCGTCGAGCTGCATCAATGAGAGGTCGACGCCGGCCGGAAGCGCGCCGTTGGGTGGCGTCTGTGGTGCAGTTGATGGATCCAATTCGTCTGGGACAAGGCTGGAGGCTTGTTGATTTGTACGGGAGCCATGCCTTTGCTCTTGGATGGAGAAGATGTCAGCCTGAAGGAGCTGAATGGCGTCGTGCGCATCGTTGATCTCATCGCCGATTTCCAAGAGCTCGGCTCGACGGTCACCAAGGTCGGGAAGGGGCGGAGAGATGAGGGTGTTCCTGTCGCAGTTGGCGTTGTGCGGAGGCGTTGATTTCAAGACGGGAGGAGCAAAGGGAGCCGATAGTGGCTGGGGTGTGCGGACGTCGAAGCTAGCATCAAGCTGTGCGTTCGTCTCGGGAGTGTCTATATGGGTAGAGGATGCGTCGAGTGTAGGTACTTCGGCCAAAGTGAGGCCGGCGATGGTATCGGCGAGATCGGAGGCGGTGAGAGGAAGGCCGGTTCGCGCGTCGTGAAGAGTTCGACTCTTGCTCGGCGAGTTGGCGATGGAGGAGCTGCGAGCGGGGACAGCGGCTGGGCTCATGATGACCGAGGATGAGCGAGAGGGGATGGAGACGCTGCTGGATGAGCTGAGGATGGAAGCTGAGCGAGCGTGACCTGCGCGCCGAGATGCGGGTGAGCTCGGGAATGGAACGCGTGGCGAGGCGGCGTCCTGCGCATTGGAGGCGAATCGTTCCCGAGACGACATTGCGCTGGACATGGCGATGTATGCAATACTTCCAGAGGGGGTCAATGATGGAGAGGTGAGGTGTGCATTGCGGTCGAGATGGCGATTGTGTTGCAAGATGAAAGGGGTTGGGACGATGGGCGCTTTGCTGCAGTTGGCAGGTGTTGGTGTCATCGAGACCCTGTCGACCACAGCAGCTGCCGCGCTGCCAAATCCAAATTCACGCGCACGCGCCCGCGCCCTCGCCCTCGCCCTCGCCCTCGCC